GGGACCTTCGGCACAAGACATAAAAGGGTATGATTCAGCTCATACTCCATAGTTCCAGAATAGAAGAAATTATGTATCCCAATCAGCACATCCCGCCCAACCACATTCCAAGCTGACTTAAAAATTTTAGAGGAATAACCATCAGGGCAGGGGCTTTATCATTCCCAATAGCAAATAAAGCATCCTTTATCTCCAAATCAGAAATGGGACGAATTAAATGAAGAGATTCCGATAATGATAAAGCATGACGAAATACACAATCCCCCATAGAAGAAGCAACCAAACTGGAAGAGGTACCAAGAATCCCTTTAAAATGAGAAATGAAAGCCGTAGATACTGCCTGGTCCTCATAAAGGACACCAGCCGAGTCCGTGATCATGGCAATATGGTTCCGATTGCGCTTTTCTTTCATAGCATGAAAGAAGAATTTAGAATTACCATCCCCTTCATTTAACCAAGATAGCTTCGCTTTTTGTGTAGCCAAATCCATCTGATTACTCCTAGCTTCTTGATAAGCTAATAAAAGGTGAGCGATATCCTCCTTTAGCAAATCATTAAACGGGTCGAGATCACAAGCCAATTGGGCAACATCAATTTCGGAGCCGTCGACAACCCTCTTATTAGCCAATTGAGCTGAACAACCCTCTTATCCAAACAACCATACGAATTTCGGAGCCGCCGACAAACCACCTTAAGATCTTTCAGTTTCCGTAAAACCCTCTTCATGTAAGAACCATGCTGATGCTTCGACCATACCTCCTCTACCGAAGCAAGGAAGTCCGTATGAGAGGTCAAAAAGTTGTCAAACTTAAAGCCACGCTGACGAATACGACGTCCAACACGGAAAGAGAGAACGCCCGTAGAATGATCAGAAATCCCCCTAGGTTCAAAAAAAGCCGAAACATCCCCAAACCGAGAGAGAAAATTCGAATTGCCCAAAATACGATCAAGTTTTCTCATAACACCCTCTCCCCCCGAAGGTTTCTGGATCCAAGTAAATTGACACCCTCGATACGCAATGTCAAATAATTCAGCCTCCTCTAGACACATATGAAACTCTTCCATGTCAGAATTCCTCCTGGAAGAACCCCCCAGCCCATCATGAGGAAAAAGCATCGAATTAAAGTCACCCATAGCAATCCATGCTTTCCCTTTACTGAAGGCGTGAAATTCCCCAAAAGCCCGCCAAAGCTCACGCCGTTCAGTACCCGTATTACAACCATAAACAAACGTGAAGAAAATGGGGTCAGATTGACCAAAAATACAAGCTTCACAATGGAGATATTGCTGATGCTGCTCAATCATAATGACAGATAAAACTGACGGGTCCCAAGCAATAATTAGGCGAGTGCCTTGATCACTAACCGAACCATTAGATATCCAATTCCAATTACCAAAGACACTACTACACACATCCCCCAAGTGATTGAAAGCAACTTTGGACTCAATGAGACAACATAAAGAAAGATGTTTGAGAGTTATAAAATCACGTACCTCCTTTCGTTTAATAAGGGCATTTAAGCCCCTAACATTCCAAGCTGCCAACTTTATCATTGAGATAAAATGGGTGGAATATCCTCTCCACTTTTGTCCATTATTTGCTCCTCCGTATCAATGATCTCCATTTCATCCTCATCACTAGACTCATCAGAAAGAGAAGAAAACCGATTACTCGTTTTCAAATTGATAACTTTACCCCTCCTTGGTTTAAAACCCTGGACCACCTTTTGCACTAATTCCGGGTTGCCTTTCGAAAAAGATTGAACATGGGAAGGATCCTCCCTTCCTCTTGGTGTACGTCCCGCATTTACCGTACAGAATTGTCCGTCCACTTTTCCACTATCCTTTCCCTCCAACGTAGAAGAAACCCCAAGATTTGAAACATGTGGGACAGAAGTATCGTCCCCCGAGGGTTTTGAATTCTCCGGAACCCTTTTTAGAATCCCAACCCCGGTTAAAGAATCATGTGTACCTGTGTCCGCACCCGATGATGACGTCTGAAACTCTGGACGGCCTGTGGATCCTTTTTTCTCCATTGTTTCCGCCTGACGTCAGTAAACCCCCTTTTATCCACGACTGTCTCAGAAACCCTTTTCTTTGTAACATCTCCTTTCAGACAAGACCCTGTTCGATGACCAAACACTTTACAGATTGAACATTGGGAGGGAATCCAATCATATTCCAGAACAACATTTATGATGTCCTCTCCAGTACCTGAGAGCCGTGGAATCACCACTTCTATATTCCTCTGCATTTCTCCCACGGCCCACACATCCACCAACACTTTTGCAAAGTTTGTACGACCCCATGCTCTATCACAAGTGGAGGCAGTGCAAGCATCTAAACGCAAAGGAACGCCTATGGCACTAGCAATGCGGCTAATACCCTCTTTATTGAAAGCAACCAGAGGGATATTAAAAAATTTCACCCACAACGGGCAAGAAGTGTGCACAGGCTTCTGTAGCCCCTTTGAAGGATCCCAGAAAGAGACAAACAGCGGCCTCCCTCTAATCATAAGGGGGGACGTTTCAAGAACTTGGTTACATCCGCCCTCAAGTCCACAAGAAGCAACAAAAAGAGTCTAATTGGGACAAGATGACACTAAATCAGTTATAATTAGTCTAACAAGATGGTAAAGTGAGTAATCGATGCAGAATGGGTCTTAAGGGTCCTAAATAGGTCCATGTGGCCTTTGTGGGTATAATGGGCATATTTATTTTAATCGAGTCATTTGGGCCAAAATGAGACTAAATGGATCATCATTAATCTGATTAGACCCTAATGGGTTTAATAGGGCCATTGTTTCCGTAGGGAGTCTAATTGACTCGAAAGGACACTAATTGGGTCATATCTAGTTTGATCAGAGCTTAATGGGTATAATGGGGTAATTCCTGTATTTGAGTCCAATTGAGTTATGATGATACTAAATGGGTCATAATTAGTCTAATCAGACGTTAAAAGGAGTAAATGAGGTAGAATGGATCTTAATGGGTCCATTTGCTCATTTTTTTTTTGAACGGAAACCAGGCAATTTTATAAAACATAAAGAAAATTACAGCAAAACGACCAAAAACAGACCACTACCAACGCAACAAAAAAAAAAACAAACGACTTGGAAAAAAACCCATACCAAGCCACCAAAAGCCAAACAAGCAAAGCCCAACCGACTCAAACAAACAACTAAAAATAAAGAAAAGGAGCTTAAAACATACAAAAGCTCCCCTAACATAGCAAAAACCCATAAAAATCAACCAGTATTGCCCAATAACCGTTTCTCCAACCAAGCCACACGAATTTCAACATTCTGAACAATGGCTTGAATAATCTGCTCGATGTTCCGACGATCCCCAGTAAAAAGTCTTCTATTCCGTTCCTGCCAAATGAAATAAACCGAAGCCGCAACCGCTAGTTTCTGCTTTAACCGCTTTGGACGATGATTAGAATCCGAAAGAGTTTCCAAAATTTGATCCCACACATAAGGCATAGTAGTCAAATCAACAATACGTAAGACGTTGCCCCA